GACAGAAAAAAAGAATGACCTATACTATTCCTTGTTTTGAAAAGTATGGATGATTTCAGAACCTGAGCATTGTGCTTCTTGACCCTCCCTTCTCTTCCTACCTCTCTCGGGCACCACTCGTCTTATGAAGTCATCGTGCTCCGTTGTTCTGGTCGATAACAGATGAATAATAACTCCTCGAGCAAAGCAGCATGACATCAGGGAGGGTCATTTGAGGGGAATAAGGGAGAGGTATCATTTTCTGCTTTAAGGGTCTCTGTGTCATATTGTCCCTTTTCATTCCCAGCCAGTTGACTCAACAGGAAGAGATCTGGTGGGGACTAAACAGCTTTGAGTATATGGCAGCAGTTCCCAGTTTAGGTAGCTAACTGCATTTGTGCAGCTAAAATGTATGTTTAACTTCTACTAGCTGTTAATTGTGCAAGTAAAATCTAGGACCAGAGAAGGCAGTATCTCTTCTGTGTTGCCCTGTTCTGTGAAGATGTGAATGATTTTATCTCATAAATATGGAATTCACTTATTCAAAGAACTTTAGGAATTTGAGTCTCCTCTGTGTCTGATTGCCAATCTGCTGTCCTCATAAGTAAGAGCTTGAAAGATAAAAACATAAACACATATTTTTCCATTTTAAATTAAGTTTAATGCTCTTGCAAGTGGATAAATGGACCTGTTGCGGTAAATGTTCACATGGGGGCGCCAGCTTACACAGTATGAGTGCTTCCACAGTCGCCCGTGTTTCCCGGTTTTGCTCTGTTTCACAGGCAGAGAAGGGGTGGTGGTGGGAAGTGGTAGTGGTGGGACAGGGGTTAAACGAAGTGCAAGCACAGCCTCCTCATGCTGAAAGGTCACTGTCTTCCCTGAGCTTCAGGAACAAACTGCGACTTCTCTTTGAAGAGCCACATCTGAGAGCTCAGGAGCAGGAGGAAGTCCTTTATTAATCTGGGAATCAACAAGCTCTAATAGCAGGAGATGGAAACAATATACAGGTGTACATGGTTGGGTATACTGTAAGACACACACACACACAGACACACAACATCATGAAATTCCAAGTTTAATGTGTACATGCTTTACTTGGATCGCAGTATGTGATTGTGGAGTACTTGAAGTAGCAGTATGATATTTCCAGTATGTCGTCTTTCATCGTGTTTCTGTCTCCCTGTGACCTAGATTTCTCTGGGGAAGTACACACTGTGTTGTTCAGTTAGCGGTTATTGTCCCTCTGTGTATTTATTTGTGTGTGGCAGTGTGTGTGTGTGTGTGTGTGTGTGTGTGTGTGTGTGTGTGTGTGTGTGTGTGTGTGTGTGTGTGTGTGTACATGCATGCACATACATATCGGTGCCAGGATCTTTGGGTTTTACAACTGTCCCTGTCATATTTTCAGCAGCGATGACAAGCGCAGAGAAATGAATTGCCTTTCAGAAAGGGCGACCAATTATTGTTTGGTATTTTTATTGGTCCAAAAGAGTTTTAAAAATACAAATGATTGTATTTTTATGGTGGTCACGCTCCACGCTGGTCTCCTTTGTGTTCTACAGAAATGATTCCTCTGGAGGCCACGGAGTCCTAGTTCTTAGTTTGGATGGAAGACAGACGGGTCGACCGGGTTTGTGGTTCTGCTCCGGAACAAGCTGCTTTTGGATCACGATTTTTCGCCAGAGACACAGGGCCTGATACTGTTTCACTAACTTCTCTTCCATTATATTAGAACTCAGCCTGGCCTAATCATGTTCATACTCTACAGACTGCAGAACGCAATGCAGCACCAAAGCATTTCAAATTGTTTTACATGAATGTATCAGCTATTGTAATAGTGTGAACCCTTCCCAGACACTTTAAATATACTAATTTGAGAATTAATGGAAATGCCAAATGTCATTATGTTTTGTTTGACTGATGAGAATATCAAGCTATCCCACTTTTAACCCACTAGTTTTGTCAACTAGTTGATAAGAAATAAACAATATGACTGTAGCCAGCATAACCAAGTTGATAATACTTAACTGTAAAGCATCTTTATTTCCATATTTTTATATAAACAGTATATTTTTGGTGGTACTGCAATGATTTCTAAAGACAGGTGTTAAGTCCCTCTCTGCATCTTTCCCATAATTATGTCATTATAATTGCACAAGTTTCTGACTCATTAGTAATGAAATTTCCACATCCCATAACCTCCCAGCGTTTTAAAATACTGCGCAACGGTCGATACCATGTGTAAAGTCAAGGTCAGTAAAAGGTAACCGTGCATCAACACTCCCACTTTTAAGGAGAACCTGGTCCCCCCTATCAGCTTGTTGATAAAGTTATCAGAGTCAAAACAGTATGGCTGTAAACAGTGGGGAGCTGTGTGTGGTGGGGGAGGACTGAGACAGACGTCATGGTTTCTCAGGAGGATACACACTCACTGAGACAGACAGTCCACACCGCAGCGCCTGGCCCATAGAGTCATGGTAGCTGCCTATCGTAGGTGGTCTGCTTCAGCGGGAGGTGTGTGTGGTTGGAGAGTGGGATGACATATGCACAGTGGTTTAATGATAAAAGCCTGTGTGAGTGTGTCTGGCTGTGTGTTTTTGTGTGTGAGAGATGCGGGAGTATAGTCTGAGGTAGCCTCATACACTGAGAGATAAAATGAATGACTGCTGTTCTCATCATAACAATCGAGCTACTGGAAGGGAGGCCCCACTCTCCCCCAGAAAGGCATACAGCTGCCCTGCGCCTCGCCTGTCCACAAAAGGCATTTCTCTTTGGGTGAGAATTCCTTGCCCTCTTTCCCATATCCATGACTCACGTGGTTTGTTCTCATCCGCCGATATAACATTTAAGTTACGTTGAGCGTTTTTCTGCACAATTTCACAGAAGGCCGAGCGACGAGGCTAAATATTTCATCGAGGGGTTGTTATTTCGTGCGACCAGGCCAAAGCAAACTCAAGCCTGCTGAAGAATGTAATCATTTATCTAAGACCAGAGGCGACGGGCTCAAGTCGACCTGAAATTGGGCCCTGTGGTGCCCATAGGGACAGGGAGCTAGGGTGTGTATGAGTATATATGTATATGTTTCGGTGCATTTTTATGGGAACAAGGTATGTCTAAAGCTACTGAGCTGCTACAACTAGAGGCCAAAACCAGATATATGGTTTGTTTGTACTTCCTCCTGTGTTTCCTGTGTGTGGAGATAAGCCTCAGTCAGTCTCTGTGGAGGGTTACCGGCGCTTCAGGATGTGGAGCTCGTGTATGTTATACCGTGTCTAGCTGTAGTCCTCAAGTGCCTACATCCCTTGGAAAATAAGTGAAAAGTACCTCTTCAGCCCACACACTTAAAATGAGAGAAACATGAAAGAACAAGCGAGAAAAGGCATATTAACTTCGCCTCTCTCAGTCCCTTTCTCTCCCACAGTGTCCACCCTAAAATCCCATTTTACAATCATGAATTTCTGGGAATGTTATCTAACTTTGGTAGTGTGAAGCTTTCCCATCATTCCCTGAAGGGTTTAATGTCCCTATCGCTTGTGGACTGACCTACCAGAGCTTTTAGCTTGGTTGTGTAATGACTGTCATTAACCTATCAAGATCTGCCGAAGGGTCCTGGCTGCTTTTTCCCACCCCCTCCTGCCACTTTCCCTCCATTGCCAAAACCAAGATGGCTCCTTTAAATCCTTTCTCTTGCCCTCCAGGGAACAGAGAACACCAAAGTCTACGGTCTAATTGGATTCATTTGTAAAATAGCTGTGGAGATTTGAACATTATCTATCTATGTACCCATGACTGGAATGCAGCTTATTCTCCCCACTGGGCATTTTTTACCCTGTCACCATTTCAGTTTAAATGCGGTCTCTTGATGGCCTGAAGTGCTTTTCTTGTTTTTATTGGATTCTCATGTTCATTAAATAATGAATTCTCTTCAGTGCATTTTCCTTTCTTTTGTAGAACACAAACCCTGATCTGAGAAAGGACCACTTGGGTCAAATGTGGTATTAATGCTTTGCAGCAGTGAGTGAATGGTGCTTTGTCTGTTTGTAGAAAAACCACTAAAGAAGACTGAGTTGGAGAGAAAATAGATGCTCTATTCCAGTGTATACGTCTCAAGGAACCTCAGGGAGTCCATCCATTTTTCAAATTTAACTATCTTTTTTTTAATCAAGATGATATTAATTCAGAATTTACAGGAATGTAGAGTAAGCTTGCAGAAATTATAAACCACAAGTAAGTCACCATGTCCTGTCACCAGATGTGCTGTCCCTTTGTAACCAATTTGTAGACCTCTGGAGTTTCACTGCATTACACTGTGTCCAACTCCAGCTGCATCTGCTAGTGTTTTGTTTGGTACAGCCCAGAGCGTTTTGTGTTTGTGCCTGTGCATGAGTCGTTGTGTGTGTTTGTGTTCTGTTTTGCGAATGTTCATCAGATAAAGGCTGTTGAACACCACAACTGGCTATTACACCACCACTTTAGTGACATGAGGTTAGCCACAGAAAGGCAGATGCAGAGACACAGTCCTGTATGTCAATGCGCTGAATTAACTTGTAGTATAACACTACTGGGACTGAAGCTGATTTGGTCACAGTACCCAATGGCTGTGTTGTTTACACCTCTCCACTAACTCTTCTACTCAGAAGAGAAGAATTTACTTCTTCTCTCTTCATGGATTCAGCCATAATTCTCTTAACCCAAACCGTACAGTAGATGCTTTCATCGCTGCTCATCTTTGAGATGCCAGGCCAGAATGGAAGACATTACGGCAGGAAATTGGAGATTGCAGCCAGAGGCTGAGCACACTATTCACTGTCTAGATTCATCTTCTCGATGAATCACTGGTCAATGGGATAATTCCTTTTTGTGGTACTTTGGTACCACAAGGTCTCCAGTCATGGTCGCCCAGTTGCGTACATAGTACAAATGCTACTTAACCTTTCAGGCTCATTCTAAACTGTTATGTGCTTGCTTCATATCAACATGCTACTAACCTTAGCTCTTCTCTGTCTCTGTCCTTTGCTCTCCAGATTGAGAACCTGTTGGAGCAGTTAAAGGATAAGGACAAACAGCTGGCTGGGTTGAGGGAAAGGGTCCAGGGCCTTCAGACTGACTCCAGCAACACAGACACTGCCCTGGCCACACTGGAAGAAGCCCTATCAGAAAAGGTAAATGAAAAAGCCAAAGGTGAAGTTGGAGGTCAAGAAAAGCTGACAGCAACGGCTGATAAAAGAGATTTCAGGTGAGGGTTGAGGTAGATGCTGCTCTGTTAGAATAGTTGCTGGATGGATGGTGTGAAGTATTACTCACACTATAAATGAAGAGACTAAAACTAGTTTGTCATTTGTGGACAATAAAAACTCACAAAATGAAACCATTAGACCACCACTTGGTCTGGAAATTCTTACCCTCTGAGGCACACTGGTCATTCAGGAAGCTGGTATACAGCATACAGCTTAATTAAGTTGCATGTTTTGCTATGACTCACTGCAATAATTTACTGACACAGCCTAATTTATAGACCTTGGGCCACACTAGATGAGACTGAAAACAGTAAGGGAGAGAAGGAGGCACTGGGAAAAGGGAGGTCTAAGGTGAACATAGACAGAGGATTAGTCCCTGTCTGTAACTGTGCTGAACATAGGGAGGGAATGATCTATAGAATAAGGGGAGTATGGAAGTTTTGAAAGGGGGAGGAATGGAGGGATGGAAAAGTGGAATGGCAGAAGAGGCACAGCCCTGATGGAAGAGGTGGCCTCACAATTAAGGGAGGGAGAGGTCAAGGAATGCAAGGGTGGAGGCAGGGTAAAAAAATTGTAACTTCAAGACTAATGAAAGAAGAAGAGAAAGAACAGAGCTGGCAAGAGAAATACAGTTACAATGCATCAGACAGGGATGGAAATTCAGTAACTGATAACAGCCGCACACATATAGAGGAAAAAAATTACTGTGACTGTAAGTGAACCGAATGAGAGAGACAATGCTCGAAGACAGACCTGATGTACTGTAAAGTCTCAATGGGATGTTTGTACAGTCCTGGTCTAAAGTGATCTCTAATATTGGGAGATACAGTCACAATATCCTAATCTTATGCTTTTTTTTGGGATACTTTTACTTTATACTTTTGGAACTGGATTTACTGGCCTCAATGGCCTCTGCAAATAGTATAACAAACACAGTACTGTATGCATCAATGGGAAGACACATTGCAGCATAAAACCGCAGAGCTGCAACTGCCACGTGAATCAAGGTGAACTAAGCAGCCTTACTCCACATGGATGGACGGGTGAGTGGATGGGCTGGATGTTGGTCGTAAACATTCAGCGTTTGTTGTTTTCTGGCAACATGAGAGAGCAGCTGGTCTCCATAAAGGCTCACCTCAACACTACTAAGCTAGCATGCCGCCACTAACACTTAAAGATGAATGGCCTTGCTGCCCACTGTGGTGTTTTCAGTGAAATGCACTGCATTTCATCACACAGATGATTTACTCAATAAAACCCCATTGTTTTTTGCAGTATTCCTGGGTATAGTATAAGTTGCTTTCGAGAAGCTTGAGTGCTAATGCTAATATATATTTTTATTTTCTACACAAGTCTTTAGTAATGTGTTTATGAATTTGTACTCATGCTTACAGGGTGCCAGTGATTTCTAATTGGAGACAGGCTTGAACACAGGGCAAATTTAATGTTATATTCTGAACTGACCATGACCATGGGAATGTCAAATCTTAGTCTGGCAGTATAAACACTTTACCTTGAACTGACTGGCTTGATTTCAGAGTGACTCGATCTTCCTTAGCTTTGTTGCATTTCTAAAGTTGTCACTCGCACACATTTGTTGGTACTACAGTCTAAAAAAATGATTGCTTTGGCGCTGCAGGCAAAGAAATGGTTCCCATTTACATGTTTGTTTGTACTGCAGGCTAAAAGATGGATGCTGGTTTACTTTGTGTTGGCACTGGCTGCTGCTTAAGAGCTTGTAGAGTTCCCAGTTAGGACAGATGTGGATGTCCAGCTGTGTTGCGTCTTTTCCAGTGGCTGAAACATTTATGCCCAATGTGCACATAGTTTATGTGTGTATCTGTATGCCTTTACATTTGTTGTACTGTTTGCAACATAAGCTTGTGTCACTTGTGCTGTGATCTGCCAAGTGCATACTTGTGACAAAAATTTGAGTGGTGCATCTAACGCTCAGTCAGAACTAGACATGAGAAGAAATGAATACTGTTTCATGGCAAATGGTTATACAGTTAGATCTGGTGGTCAGGGCTCTCCTGTATGAGGGAGGTCTCAATCAATCCGAACTGTGATTAGGATTCTGAGCAAATTCTAATCCTAATCCCTCTTTAAAGGTTATACACAGTCTATGAGATTTCCACATTAATATAGCAGCAAACAGCTATTTGTTATGTAAAGATATTTTGGGGTCATTGTGTTCTGAGCAGAGAATTACATCACACTCCCTTTGTCCGTGTTGCTATCGCAGCCTCTCTCTGGTTTGTTTAGGCAGTCTTCTCCATGTGCAGCAGAGGGACTGAAACGCCTGTTCTTGCATCGACCTAGGTGAATTAAGGATTTATTTCAACCATAGCAGGGCTGGTGATTGTTGGAACAGTGGGAAAAATAACAGAGATGGTTTTGTACAGTTTTTATTGTGTTTCTGTCAACACAACATGAAGTTATGTTACAGTGATATGCAAGGTAAAATTATCGTTGTTATCTCTGAGTGTAGCAAGCAATCTCAAAAAAGTCTATCTCTCTAGGGATCCGTTCCTTAATCTTTTCAGACACTTAGAACAATCTGAGCCTGTCAGTGGCAAAAATGGGCACTTTCAATGGACGGGTGCATTTGTCCCCAAGGATTAACTTAAGCTAACATTGCAGCCATTGCAGTCCTTTACACAAATATTTTTCATCTAACTCTGTAAATTAAGGTAAAAAAAAGTTTTGGTGAGTTTTATTTCTGTCCCATTGTTTTGGTCTGAGATGTTGGTTCTCTAGTGCGACATCCAGTGGCACGTGAATTCTGTATACATAACCTTTAATGAACACATACGCGAACATTAATACTTTGTTAAATCAACCGCATGAAATGCCACATGAGGAGGTTGGGTTGGTGGATGGAGCTCTGGCAGCAAATATTGTTGGAATGAACATGATCAAAATATCAGTGATACAGCGTGTTGCTGTGCACCTGCATGAAAACGACTGGATGCTACCAGCCACAGATGTGCCAATCAGTCGATACTACTGCGACTTAGAAAAGGTTATGTTAAAAAGTAGGTTGAAACAATTTTGAATCTGAGCATTGCAACTCAGTGTTTTTTGTTCTGTTTGCATTTACAACATTTGTACAATCACGCTTCCTCACTAAAAAATCTGTCTGTTACACAATATCAGTGCTTTGACGCCAATCATGTGAGAGAGGCTTAAGTGTAGTTGTACAGGGTTGCTTGAGTCCTTGACAGGCAAGAAGAGATTTGTGTGTTTGTCTCTGACTTATTAAGCTGTTATTTCCTTTGTGTTTAATTTTATTGAATTGAAAGTTACTGAATTTATATCCATTTAATCAAGAATTATTTACATTTTAAATCAGTCTATTAAAAGACAAGATGTCGGCCTCATTGTTTTTGCTACACATGGACCAACACAGTACATAGATGTTTTCACTTAAAATGATCTTTTATCACCTAAATTTGTTTTTGTTGCCGACAGACTTTGAAATGAATAGCATAATGGCACAATAAACTGTAAATCCCTATTCTGCCTCGGCCCATCTGTTTACCCAGAAACCACTTCTGATGCAGCCTACATATAATTCAGCTGTGATGAGGAGAACGTTGGCGAGCTTTTCAGACTTTGTGGTCAACACAGGGTGTGTGTAATGTGTTTACAAGAGTGAGTGTGTGTGTTGCTAATCACACACCCTGTCACAAACCTGCTCTTGGAGCCAGTCGCTAGCCACAGTACTGTGGTTCTAATTAACAGGCCAGGGCATTGTGCCCAAGCTGAGCCCTACTCTTTGGTGTGTGTGTGTGCGTGTGTGTGTGTGTGTGTGTGTGTGTGTGTGTGTGTGTGTGTGTGTGTGTGTGTGTGTTGTGTTTACGTGTGCTCCACACTCATAGAGGCAGGTTTTATTATCACATCCTGGTCTCTTTCCCTAAACCCCAAACATCCTAGAGATATTTCATAATGTGGGGAAAACACCCAGGACCTATTAACCATGTGGTCTCTCTCCTTCTCTTTTCTTTCTCTCTTTCTCTCTTCTCTCTCTCTCTCTCTCTCTCTCTCTCTCTCTCTCTCTCTCTCTCTCTCGTCCTGTCTTCCAAAGCCCAATATGCAGTGCGTTACTGTGCCAGGTCTAGTTAGTGGGTGTATTTGTCCAATTACCCAGGGGTTTAAAGCTGCCAATCATGCGGCGATGCCACATCGTAAAGCCTCATTGCTGAGCTGTGCTCTGTGCCTAAATAAACACCTGAGTAAACACCTTGATAATCACTTCAGTCCGCACCTAAACACAGACACATACACCTTAACACACACCTTCTACACACACACCTTGCATGCTCCGCCACCCATGGTGTGATCCTGGTCTCAGGCCAATGCCCAAAGCCGTGGTCCTCCCGCTGTCCGATGTGATTAGAGAATAGAGAAAATTATGATGTAAACATTCCAACTTGGTTTATCAGAAGGCAATGTGGAGTTGTTAGGAAGTGATCTACAGTACTGTTCAGTTTGTTCTCAATAAATCTGTCACCGTCTCTCATCTCCTCTCCTCCTTCCTCCTTCTTTCTCTCTGTTCTACTTGGAACTGATCTCCTCATGTCCCTGTTATTATTTATGGTAGTATTATTTATGATGGGCATTTATGAGTTTGTCTTTGGCCTCACTCAGCCTATTCAGCAAGAGACTGGCTCAAATGTTTCAATAATGATAGGAAAGAACTGTAATCACACAGGGCTGTCAATCTTTTGCCCACTGGAAGCAAAACAACATCCATTTTATGACATTTCTTAAATCTGGACAAGCTTTTACGCAGATGATGGCTATCTAGGCTCTTTACTATATTTCTACTCACACCTCTAACCCAACGTTATTTTCCCTTGTTCTTTTTCTATCTCACTATCTCAGGAGCGAGTGATTGAGAATCTACGTGAGCAGAAGGAGCGGGAGGATAGGGTTCGGCTGGAAGAGCTGCAACAGATGAGGAAGGAAAACAATGAGTTAAAGGACAAACTTTTAGCCCTGCAGCCCCAGAAACTGTCCCAGAGTCAGCCTGCTAACCTCAGCCCAACCCAGAACAAGAGGCCTGATGCAGAGGTGAGTAGGGATGTTGTGATGTAGTTATTAAACGTACCACAAGTAGTTTTGAAGTGGTCACAGTCTCTGGCTGTTTCTATATAGTTCACATACAGTCCCTCAATTAAATGAGGCGGTCAAAATACTACCGCTTTTGTCCACAGGGGCCGCCAGAATCATCACAAAATTAAAGTTCCTTTTAGGGGTTTTAAAAAGTAACACTGTGTAGATAACAAAAAAGGTTTTGTGTATGCGGTATGTAGTGTTGGTTACTTTTGTCAATACATTTTGACTATTGTTGTAACCAGTCTCTAAATGTTACACTGGAATATCGAAAACAAAATATAACTCATGGTTGAAACAGTGTGCATGTTGATACGTGCTCTGTACACCACAACTCAAGATTGCTGGTATGTGTGTGGACTGCAGACAGCCATCAATATTTCATCGTTATCTGCATCATAACAGACTTGCACACGCTGCAACACTTGTGCCAAGCTCTAAACTGAGCCCAAGCACAAAAACTTATTTCACAGACATCATAAAACAAATAATAACAAATACCTTTCTCACAACCTTTCACTGTTGAATACTTCAAACTAGCGTCACAGCACTTCATAATTATTTTTTATTGTACAAAAAGAATTAAAAGAATTAACTTTTACAGCCACTCTGCAGTGGTTGTAATATACTATGAGCACCCTGTATTTACATGGCTAACATCTACAGTAATAGTAATTCCACTCTCTTACCTCCCTGTGAGCATGCACAATATTGTTAGTATCTCCCTAGCAAAGGACCTGCCTGCACTTTGTCCCACAGGATAAAGGGATGAATTAAGAGAGAGTGATTTATGGACGTAAAAGATCCCTCTATCCCTATTCGGGTGCCAAGTCAGAGGCCTTGCTGTCTTTTTTTTCTCCCTTTTTTTCTCTCCCAGGCTTACAAGCCAGGACAGACTCTCGCCCTGCCAGAATTTATGAGAATGTTTTCTTTTATACTCATAAAAAGCGTACACACATCTCATTCCTGTGAAATGATATCTTGTTGAATGTTGACGCGGCACCACATGAAAGGGACACCAGCTCAATAACTCTTTGTAGCAAGCAGATTCACACTCTGACAGAAGTGTTGCCATAATTGGACTATTTTGTGTACTCGGCAGCAATCAGACCTGTTATGTAAACTTGCAGATTCTTCAAAAAGACAGATGATGTTTGCGTGTTTATATTTGAGAGAGAGAGTGTGTGTGCGTGTGTGTGTGTGTGTGTGTGTGTGTGTGTGTGTTTCTCTCTGTGTGCCTGTGCATGCATGCCAGCACGGAAACAACTGTCGGTGTGTGTTTGTGTGGACGTGTAAGTGTCACCATGTGTTTGAGTGTGTCGGTGTTTGATCCTATTGTAGTGCAGTGGAGTGTGACAGGTTGTGAGGCTGTAATTCTCAGTAGGTCAGAGGTGAACTGACATGGTGCCTGAGATTAGAATCTGATCAAACTAACCTACCACACACAAACATATACACGCGCACACATTCACCTCAGTGTATAACAATATTTTGCTACTGACAGCCACGTGTACTTTTGGTCTAAATACTGGCATACTGCTACAGTAAATCAAATTCCAAAATTCAGTATGGTAAGCACAGCAAAAGCTTCACTAAGTGTTGTTGATGGCAGGAATCCAGCACCAGTGAAACTCAAATGATAGTCAAATGAGAAAATGGAAATTACATCCTCAAGCCATGGTCAAATCCCACACTTAGTTGTGACCAGTGCACCGTTCTGCCTCCCGGCAATCATTTTGATGGGATAAGCTGCCTACTGGAGTCAGGACACCAGACATATAGGTCATCTTCTGCCACAGGCTGAAAATCCACCCTTTTAGATTATACCTCGACACCCAATGCTAGCACATACTTTCCCAAAAACATCAACAACAAAAAAAATCTTGCTGGTATTGAGCAAGTTTTGCTTGTATCAGGTTTGAATTGACTTTTTGTTGTTTTGGTCAAAAGCATCTGCCAAATGGGTGTAACATAATAATTAGGGATGCACAAAATGGATTTTCTTTCAGCCAATACGATAACCGATATTTGACTGTTTCTCATGGCCGGTGCCAATAAGATAACCGATAGTTTCACACTGTTGTTTTTTAAAAAGAAGTTCATAACCTGTAGTTTTTACACACCTGAGGGTGTAGATGTATTGAGCAAATATGGGTGATTTAATATTCCATAGCTCTGAGCTAACCTACCACTATTGTTTACATAACAATGACAAATAGCAGTTCTGATTCTTCAAATGTTCAATTATTTTTTCAAGTCAAGTTCATATTCTAATTTAAATGTCCAATAATTTATGATAATTTCCCACTATCAGCCAACAATTATCATGCATCCCTTATAACAATGTGATGCAACAATCCAAAAGGAACAGCAGGGTTGTTTACATAGGATGGTGTTTACATAGGGCTGCTTGAAAAACAATGTGTTTTGCAATGTAGATTCTTCTCGTTTTTGCAGAAACTACATAGCAAAATGTGCTTGATCTTATTTAGATAAAGCAATGTCCCGAGTAAACTCGCTGAATTCTCACTTGTGTTAATGCTACTAGAGTATTGCTGTTTGGTGGGTGAAATTGTTGCATTTGCACAATGTCAGCCTTTCAGAAAAAAGATAAGTATACAGTAAATGCTTTTTAAACGATTACATTAATCCACCAGTTGTATAAAAGGCATCCTCATTTCATGTTAATCACAAACACCTCCAAAAATGGAGAAATTAGCTTTTCACCTGACAGCGCTGATGTGTAGCCATTTCCCTCTCATGCAGATGTGGAGTTTGTGTTTGCCATCAGGTCGTGTACACACAGTGGCCCACTCACTGTATCTACAGATGTTTGTATTACTGACTCAGTCAAGCTGTTAGCGGAGCTTTTTATCTTGACCTCAGAGCTCTGTTGACTTGACTGCATCCTCATCCTCTTCTCATAAAACAGTATTTGTTGATTCTGAGGTTAATAAAGGACTTCTGGAACTAAACATCCACTCTTCAAAGAGAAAAACAGTAAAGATCCTCAGGGAAGGTAGTGACCTTTTCGGAGAGGGATGGCTTAAATCAGCAAGGAGACACCACACCTCAACTTACTTTTAAGTCCTATTCAAAAGACTGTTTGGTCTTTCCAAAACCAGGCATATGTTGTATCTTCTTACCTTTTTTTTTTGGTTTCTTTTTGATGATAATATCGAGATCAGACATTGATTTTTTGGAACATAACTAGATCCAGTGTTGGTACTAGAGACAGATCAGGGCTCGCCTTTGCAGCTTGTGTCTTCACGTTATGTGCCACTCATTACTCGCCTATTTAGTTAAATGAGTACATTCAGAATGCCAATTTAAAACAAATATTTCCCCCACATTAAGTCCAACTCAAAAACTGGAGTCGGAGTTCAAATATTTTACCTCAGAACAACAGTGGTGGTGATAATCCTTCAAGGAATGGCGACACCAAGTGCCAGAAAAAGCACCAAGAAGAGCTAGCTTGTTACAACTGCACTGTACGATTTAAAAAGAGAACATAATCCTTCAACAGCTGCAGAGATGAATTTGACTGGGTACATTACAACAAAGAGGAAGGGGTAATGTCCTTTGTCACCTAGCAGGGGCAACTCAACAATTAAGTGACATTAGCTAGCGAGCATTATCAGCTGTGTAATTCACAACCCTTAAGAACAAAACATTTTGTAGTTTAAACTGCGCCTGTGCTACAAAATGGCTCAAATATAAACTACAATATCCATATGGCATTTTAAATACCTGCCTGTTATGACAAAAATAAAATAGTAAAAGCAGGTCGCAGGTGGTTATCTGAACATTCATTGATATCACTCTGTATTGCCTATTGTTCTTTACAATCAAAATATATATGAAAAAGATTTTGTGATGACATAACCACTTTAATAAAATTTATAAATTAAAACATTTATATGTTGACACTGTTTGGATGCTTTCACTTGTCTGTTTGTCTAAATATTGCATTCACAATTATTGATTTTTACTCGGACAAATTACTTTTGTGTGAAGCGAAGGTAGATTTACTTGTCCGAAGGAAAAGTGCCTTAGAAAGTTAATGTCGTGCCCTGCAGGTATTTACCTTTAGGAGTCAAAACTTTTTATAAATACTACCCAGCCTCAATGGGGCTGTGTATCTTCTGACCAGGAGTTAAATAACCCAGTTCAGATCCTGGTGGCCTCACATATTTAACTTATTTGTTATATTTACACTTCAGAGACATTTCTAGGAATGATAATAATAATTTCAATGACCATATATGTAATCGTATCTTTACTGGCCTTCCCCCTCCTGTCATAATATCACAAATTCCTGTTGGACCCGCCGTGCTGTCAGCCCCTGGTTTCTTCCTGTCTGTGTTTTCCCCTAGAAGAACATAACAAACTCTGGTCTACTTAAGCCTAATGCATTTTATGCAAGCTAAGATTGGGTTTGATTTGTGTGCATAAGTGAATGAGGCTAGGTGTGGAGGTAATGGGAGTGAAGACGAGGTAAACAATGACTGTGCTTGCCTTCCAGAGGGCCAAGTGTTCCCCTCTTTCACAGCATTCAAACTTTTGTACAGGCACATGTGTATACACATACAGTAACAAGCTTAAGGGGCTCTTTAAGGCACTTGCAGTTGCTGGCACATACAGAATATTGTAGGTTAGTCAAACTTATATCCATGGACAAACACAATGTGTGCATAGCATCACGACTGTGTGAACACAACACAAATACACAAAAAAACTGTCACAGACTACAATAATGTCATCATTGACATTTTGAGTGTATATTTGAACATTTACAGATGTGTTTACAGATGCGCTACCTCATTATGCATGCTTGTATCTAAAGCACAAAAAGTAAGACCATTCAAACATTTAGTTGTGTTCCATATGCTGTGCCCATGGCTGTATCTCCAATATTCAGGGGCCAACATGCGCATATGGTTTATCTGGTGGGTTTGTTATAATGGGAAAAGGGGCATTTGTTCAGATTGGCTAGTGGTAATAGTTAACAGACACTCCTTGGGGTTTTTTTTCTAATGACAGACTCAAGCAGAGCTACATGTTCTGTCCCAGACTTATGCAGACCTGACAATAAATTGCTCAGTGTGTGTGTCTGTGTGTGTTTGTGCACACTCACTTGATGATGTTTAAACGAGTGGCCTCAGCTGTTTCAACAAGTTAAACAATCTTTGCAAACACAGTAGACGGAGAGAAGTAAAGACCAAGAGAAAGAGGGAGAAGTAGAGAGAGAGATAATTCTAGGTTACAAACTTCCTCTGGGATATTTTTCTCAGAGAACAAAGAATTCATCAGTGTAAGTTTTCTGTTTTTTTCTTCAACATTTTACTTAGAAGAAAAAATTTGAGATGTTTGGTGGTCTCATAAAATCACAGCCAAACAGAGGGAGACTATAATTTTATAATGATAATGACTGAACTCCAAACTCCACATGACGGACGCCCCGGGGAGAGAACTGATAGAAGCAAACCACAGGAAAGCAGCCAGCAGAGGAGTCAGGGGGGGGTGATGAAGGGATGAGAGCGGATGAGGGTACAGATTGGTTCTGCTTCAGCTAAATTGTGACCCTAACCACATATTCAGGATTGACTTACCTTTTCCTTAAGGTTTTAAAGCTACCCATGTTTCAAAGCTACCCATGTAGACGTGTCCAATCTTTCAGTCCTAGAGGATGTTAAAATGTTAAGACTATACTTGGGAATTATACTATATTCTAGTTTTACATTTGTTATATCTTTTTGTATTAACTTCTAGGTGCCAGCCAAAGTAGATGGGCTACCAGCAGCAAGCCCCACAGTAGGTTATGCTATGCCTGTTGTTTGTTGGTTGCATGTACAGCGTTTGTGTGTATGTTCTATGTTGCCAGACTTGGCTTAACTTTAATTGCTCTGAGCTGTACTTTGTCACGCTTAGCTCCACATCCATCTACACTGCCTGCCCTTTGTCATTTTCTGCTATACTTTGTCATTCTAAGCTTTACTTGGTCAGTCTCAGCTGCACTTCATCAGCCTCATCCGTAGGCCGTTCGCTTCAGGTGTACTTTGTTAGATTAAGCTTTCCTTTGTCAACCACTTTGTTAGCTTCAACTGTGCTTTGTCCGCTTCAACAGCATTTTGTTAGCCTGCTAATGCTTAGTTTGCAATGTAGCATACTATTGTTGCATAAAGCTATCTTAATTCTGACATACCATGCTAACAGTTACAATCTCACGTAGTTGGTGCACATTTTATCATAAACTGAATAAAATGTTCATAGGTATGTTATAAGAAATGTGTTTTTTAGAATGAGCCATTTTTATCTACGGAGGTAGCGGGTACCCTTCCATAGAGGCTGCCATTTTAAACTGCCATGTTTCTACAGTAGCCCAGAAACAGTGTCTAGATAGGGCCTGTCACGACTCTTGCAAAATTTCACAGTCACTGTAGTTTCTCTTACATGGTTGGAAGGAGAGGATGAGGCTAGGGGATTGTAATCTGCCACTATACCGCTAGATGCCACTAAATCCTACACAGAGGTCCTTTAAGTAAGTAAGTAATTGTTATGTTGCTCAAATTATATAAAACAGGTCTGTCGCTAGTTCATGAGAAGAAGGTGTTTTTCAATTTGCTGCCAGCATTTGCTAAGGCTAATGGATTTCGAAGTGTGACAAATCTAAAGTTTAAACTGAAAGTTTAGTTAAGTCTGACAATTGCCCTAAAAAAGGAGCAGCTTTTGAAAAGCTGAGTATGAGATAAACTGGCCACTGTACATGTATTTGACATTAGTATAACGTGGCTTTGTACCTAATGTATCCACCACTCCTGTGTGTCCTGTCTCCCCTCCAAAGACCCAAAACAAAGAAGAAGTAGTGCGGAATTGTCCAGACATCACAGATCGTCTGAGGCTTCTGGAGCAGGAAGTGGCCCGCAACAGAGAGGAATCTGGGAAGTCACAAGCGGAGGTGGAGAGGCTAAAGGCAGCCCTGAGGGATGCTGAGATGGACAAATCGTGCAAGGAGAAGAAAATTGCTGATCTTGAGAGGTGAGGGTCAAAAATTCAGTGACATTCATAACCACCACAAGACACCATGTGGGTGTCCTCAGAGAGCAATGTCTTTCCAAATGACCGGATCTTTGTAAGATCTCAATTCATTCCTAAGTGCTCTATTTATAAAGGAGTAATCCACGAGACATAAACTGTCTAGATTCTGTCCTCCCAGCACTTGAAACCTCTTCCACGCTGTCATGCTTTTTGCCTGATGTAATCACACTCTAGAAATGTACATGTACATGTGTTGGTTTTTATAATTTGGCTAATGTTGTATCATTTGTTCCCGTGTATCAATGTCTGCAGACCTGGGTAAGTAGTTCTTGGTTTGCCTGTTAAACATACCATCATAATACCTGCAACACTGTCCATAGCCGTCACTCTTGACATCATGCCATGACTGTTGGTTTGATTTGAAACTTTCCCAGGTATAAAGTTGGAAAGTCCCAGGAAGCTCAGATTGGACTATCCCAGCGGGACAGTAAATGTACATTGCATTTACGGCAAACAATCCTAGTCCTCATGCCTGTCACAGCAACAATGCAATGAGAGACTTTATATGTTTTCCTGACTTATGTCACCGGAGACATATAGCCTCTCTTTTGTGTTGACTTCTGCAAAGCTTCTTCACATTTCATTACTACCATGAGTGCAATCATGTGTGTTTTTCCTCCTATCGTACTGTGTTTTCACATATGCGCCTGTAAACAGATAAGTGGTTTTGTTTCTGTATTTGAATCACTGTAAAGGCATACAGCGAGTGTGTGTGTGTGTGTGTGTGTGTGTGTGTGTGTGTGTGTGTGTGTGTGTGTGTGTGTGTGTGCGCACGTGCACGTGTGTGTGTTTTTGAGTTTGCCAGGCAGCCAGCCAGCAGCATGCCAGTGGGAGGTGGTGTATCCAGCCCAGACACTGGCTGTTTATACTACTCTGTTTATTACTGGCACAGTGCTACTCAATTATCATCTGATTTATGGATTGGCATGGTGTGTATATGTACCCAAATGAGAGGTTGTTAAGTGCCAAAGCAGAGGCACTGTATGTGAGTGTTTGCGTGTATATTTATTTTGTGTGCGTGCATGTGTGAAAAAGAAGCAAAGACAAAGGCATGTTTTTGTATGCGTTTCTGTATATAGTGTATATCCGAACTTGGAACAGTTATAGTTACTTGCGCTAGTTGGCGTGTCTGTTAACGTAGATTGATAGTGCGAGGTTTCTCTGTTGGTAGATCGCCAGTAGCACAGAAGAAGCCATGAGTGTGAAAAAGGTATGTGAAAGAACAGTTTTTGCACACGTTGGCCCATCCGGTGTGTTAACGCGAGCTATGGTCCTGAATGGTTTAAGAATGTATCTGGATGGGCTGCATGTACTGGATCCAATACAGTTTCCTGCCTCATTCATTACCTGTTTTACAGACTCTCCACTCTGGCATGGAAACGGCCTGCTGACTCAAACAGTGTGGGAACGCATGAGCATCAAGTATAATAGGGATACAGTAGCTCCCGCAGAGTTTGTTCACACAGTCTACTCTCTGTTTCCATGTATGTGTGCATGCGTCACGCCTCCACCTCTACATGTGTCTGCTCACATGCAGTTGTCACCAGAGAGTGCGTATGCACATGTGCGTGTTTTAATCTGTGTGTTTAGTTTCTGTGCACGTGTGTACACAGCCATTTGTGGGACAGGAGTGTTTGGGATCAGGAGTTGGAAGAGTTTCTTTCCCGTCAGCTCGTCCATCTTATCGGGGCTGCTGTCTCATTAGTGTCAGCTAGTCACTCCCATCGGTCTGACCCCTCCTGTCTGGTCAGCACGTACAGGTCAGGAGTCACATGCAGGTCGGTTGCAGGCTATCACAGTAGGGTCCACTGCAGCTATACACTGCTGCTGTAAACAGATAGAATAGAATACAATAAGATAAAATAGGATAGAATTTTCTATAAGCACATGAACACGTACTTCAAGTATGTATGGCTACTGTAGAGAATAGTGAGGCGTCAAGTTATTGTAGTTACATTATCAGTGTAAATTTAGATTTAACAAAGACATTAAACTTAAGTTCACACAAGACTTTTTGCACATATGTGTCTGTGCACATTTGTTATGTGACAGCATGGGCGGACGAGTGTCTCTGTGTGCTGATTGGACTTCTGTGCAAGACTCTGCGGGATGTGTCTGGGCAGAGGATGAATGTCTTTTTAATCAGAGTGTTTCTGTTGGAACTCGGTCAGATGGCCTATTAACCACTATCTGGATGGAGAGAGAGGAGAACAGATGAGGAAATAGACACTTTCTCATCCAGTTGGCAACGCCGCAGAGAGAGTCAAAGATGAATGTAGCCAGCAGGTCATTGTAATAAATACCTTCCAGCACAAGGGAGACACTCATAGCTTTTTTATAGCTTAGATCTCCTAGTGATCTACTGTAAGTCATCAGAGATAACATTAGGTAGTTTATTGTTGGTGTTTTATGTGTGTAGGTATAATTTCTAACTAATCTGTCTAAGGGATCAGAGATACCAAGTAAGCTTTGTGGAAAGTGTCTGAATCTGTTAACAATAAAGCTGATAGTTTGATTTGTTAAGTAGTGCACAGAAAGCCATGGTTACTCATCTCTTGGAGCAGTTTGTGCAGATATAATGGACTGAAATGGAAAAAATGAATCCATTTCATAATATAACATACTAATTGGAATGAAGCATTCTATTCTTCCCTCTATACATTTAATTAAGTAGCACTTTGAGTGTTTGCCCTGTATCATATTTCTTCAATTTATGTAGTTGGTAACATGGTATTGAATGTCTAAAGGTGCAGTGTGAGTGCAGTGAAAGGTCTGTTTGAAACATGACCAATTTTTATTAACCTCAAACATCAGGAGTATTATTTATTTATTTATGGTTTATTTTATACGGACAGGTTCATTAAACATAGACAGGCTGAAAACATATATCCGATGCAATTTTTATAATGTTTATAGCAGATGCTAATCCGCAAGACTCGTCCCTACATATGGGTGTATGTGTATAAGAGGTTGTTGCATTCAAGCATCTGCAGTTTAATAAATTTGAGATTTAAGTTATATGTAACTTTTTTTTTTAATGTTGGGTGAATATAAAGCCTTCTTTTTCCTTCATTCCTATCTAAATGGCTATATATTGTTAACTAGTGGAATTATTCTTCTTAATGCTGTTACAGTCCTTTTAATGTTTCTGCGGTGATGTGGGAGCTAAACTTTGAGAAATAAATCATCCTCCCAGTCTCTCCATATCACAGCTATTGACGTGGTAAGCACTCTGGTATGTAAGGGAGGGTTTCAGGAAAAGGGAGGTGTGTGTGTATACAGTACATGTATGTGTACATACAGTATGTGTGAGTGTGTACGTGTGTGTCTAGGGTGAGACTGAGGAGAATACATGTTGGTAGTGGAGCTGGCAAGGGTCTGTTGGCTGGTAGGAATCTGTGGTTGTTAGCTGACACAATATTCATACACTCACAAACACATAAAACGCACACGTATAATTTTTTGGCTTTATTCCTGTGACCATAATCAAACTCCAGATGTTGAGAGCATCAGTCTTATGAAAGCACACACACACTGTATGCATATGCACCAATGCACACATAGGGTCCAAAGTCTTTGTATATAATATTTCTGCATGAACATGTTTGTAAACTGTGCATTTCTGTGTGTCCTTGCAGGTGTCCGTACAATCTAAATTGCCTTTTTAGCCGTAAAAATGACCTGTCAGCTTTCTGTTTTATGGAAATATAGACAAGCTGCACCTGCAGCAGAAAGGAGATATTTCATAACACAAATATACAATACATAGACAATACATTTTCTCACATTTAAACACGTAGACATGCAAACCATTCCTCCTTTTTAACCTCCTTTCTGTTTCACCCTGTCACACGCACACAGACAATATATTAAAGCAACAGTGAAACTGTATTTGTGTTGCGATAAGACATGTCTAAGCACCATAAAGCATCTATCATTAATAAACAGACTTGTTCTGTTTGGATCTCTCAGCACTGCATCTAGACTAGTGCGTCAGATAAAACTTCACACTCCAGTGTTGATCCAACTGCTCCACGCTACACTTCTCAAGCCCCCAGTTTCTTCTCCTTTTCCTGTACCCCTCCTTCTTTTGAACTACAGAGAAAATATATTTAATTCAGATCATATCTCCTTGTTATCCCATATATTGTGTAACCCTGAGTAGTAACTGCCCCGGTGTGTCCCTCTCTGCTGGAAATCAGAGGATTTTGTTCCTCTCTGCTGTTTATTAAAAGAGAGGAGGAAGAGGTAGAGTAAGAATTAAGAGTTATGAAGGGGAGATAAAAATCCAGTTTTTTTTTTCCTTAAGAGGTTATTACTTCTTTTGACCTTTATTTACCCAGCAAAAGTCAACTGAGAATGCATACTCTTTTCCAGCAACACCCTACTTAATATTCACAGTTTGACCACAGCTTCCTGCTGTTGACCACTCAGCAGCTCTGCTGGAGCCATTCAGTTACTCTTTGTGCCTTGCTCAAGGGCCCTTGAGGGATGTTAGAGGACCATTCTTTCATTTTATTTTTCTCAAGTTCTAAGAGACAAAACACGAGAGACAAACAAGAAGGGAAAAACAGGAAAATAATGTTAAAGGGATAATGGAAAAGAAAATAGAAAAGACAAAGAAAGAATGATAGAAATATGTACCAAGAGAAATATACATGGTAAAAAAAACCCAAAAAACTATGCTTTGACGGCCAGAAATAAAGCGGAGCTGCTTATGTTGGAAGGCGGATGTGTGGTGTGCTCCAGGTGAAAGAAGCAAGAGGAAATGTGAAAAATTACTTATTACGCTCGGTTTAGGAAATGGCTGGACTCATGCACAGTGCTCTCTCTCTCTCTCACTTCATCTTTCTTAGAAATGTCACGGCAATAAAATACTATTTTCCCCCCCTGAATTTACTCATTTCAGCAATCAACAAATCACAGCTCTCCTTCATATTTTCCACTCTCATGCAGCCCAGCCCGTCTGCTCTTTATTCACACTCTGCGTGCCCTCATTTGCCTTCACACTGGTCAAAACACTTTATTTTGCACTGATGGGTCGATGGGGGTATATCAGCTATCAGAAGCGAACAGCGTGTCTTATGGTTTATACACCTGTACCAGTAGCAGCTGTGTGTGATAGCTGATATGCCCTCATGGCAAGTTTGTTCTCCATGGACATGCCTCTGAGTTTATGAAAACACACACAGAGACATCAAAGATCGGTGTATAAACAGATTCGTCTCCTCCTCTTCCTCACTGTGTAAATATGTACATACTTCATTCATAATGGTAACAGAATTAATTGATAATCTTTATTTACGTAGCACTTTTAAAAACCCTCTTGTAAAATTATAAAGATAACTTATAAAATCAACAGCAGAGTCATTAAAAAAAGAAATGAAAAGACTGGCCTAATAAACTGACCAGTGCGGTGTGTGTGTGTGTGTGTGTTTGTGTGTGTGTGTGTGTGTGTGTGTGTGTGTGTGTGTGTGTGTGTGTGTGTGTGTGTGTGTGTAAAATATAAATACTGACATAAAATATCTCGTCCTGCTCTGTCTTCTCATATTATAACAGTTATCTCCTCAAAGACACTGTGTTGTGAATGTGTGAGTGTGTGTGTGTGTTTGTGTGTATTCAATTTATTTATCATTTTGTTAGGTATGTTTAACATTAATTGCACACCAACATCACTCATTAAAGCTGACACACACATAGACGCACACAACATTCTAAGGGCTGTGACAGCAAATATTTGCCCGTATGTGGGGGCAGCTTGTAGGTTTTTCCCAGAGTAAACACACCAGTGTGGATATGGAATAATAATGTGGCGCGTTTTAGCAGCTGCTTGGTCACAGCCTGTTTACAGTGTTGGAGGGTTCTCTTAAGCGCTAATTTGTCACTGTCAGCTTTTTCACACTTTCTGTGCATTTTTTTTTTAAATGTGAAGGCCAAACTGGCGACTCAAAGAGTGTGTTTTTATTCTATTTTGAGAGTGTTTGGGAGAAGATATAGATTGTGTATAAGTGCAGCAGTGTGTGTCTTATGGTGCAGGGGTTTTGCGGGTTCATGTGTGTCTACCAGTAAATGTAAGTGTTTGGGTGTGGGTTAATTCATATTGCTAGAATATATTTAGGTGTGTGTTTGTGTGTCATAGTTCTTTGGCTAAGTTAGTTCGGTAAATGACAAGCAGGTCTTAGTGTGGAGGTAAATACACAGTCATCCTGGCTGGTTAATACATGGTGTAGCTCTGTAATCAGTTCCTCAGAAATGCACAACACTGACAGCAGATTTATTATCCTGTGTGTGTGTTTCTGGCAGTGTCTATTAGACGTGTGCCAATTTATTTTATAAAAACACATGCGCTTGTGTGTGTGTGTGTGTGTGTGTGTCATCCTGTCTTCTTATCTGTTGACTTCACTCTTGCACATATCTATTTTTGAGAATCAGTGTTCGTGTGCGTGCATGTGCTCACTCTCCTGTCTGCATATGTTTGTGTGTTTTGTTGTTGAAAGATTTACACAGCAGTGTCTCAGCTCCATCGCTCAAGTCTCGTCTTGTCCCAGTCTGCCTTGTTACTAAGACTAGACATACCCACTGTACTTCTCTGCTTTACTGTACACACTGAAGCCCTGCCATTCACCTGTATGATGCAATATGCATACCTTGTTTTAAATATTCAAAAAAACATTATGGGTATAACAACATTATATATATATTACATTTTATATTTAGAATTTCAGTACTACATTGAATAAAAAACACTCCCCAACAAAATCACCACAAATCCACACGGTGGAAATTGGTGTTTTCATACAGGATACATACCATGGTTATATTGTGTCAGATACATTATTGAGCATCTCTTCATTTGTTATCACCCAACTTTCTCTTTCTGAAGGCAAATCAAGTCTCCTAACATCCAGAAGCAGACTGTGGCGGGTGAGATGAGGAAAGATGGCATGACTGATGGACATCCACACTCTTTATCACAGGTTTGAATATGTGTCTATGTGTGCACGTGTACATTCCTTGGCCTCCAGTTGAGCTCTTCATCACCTCTTCATCCCAGAGATGGTGGATTGGCTCATACTGTACTCATTTACCCTGCCCTCTTCTCTCCTCTTCTTTCCTCTTCACCTCGTTTCTTCTCAGCAAGAAAGTATTATCTCATCCCCTTCCTTTATCGCGCTCCACATTTCTTCTCACTCCCCTCTCTCTGTATAATTCTGCTCTTCTGAGCAGAGAGAGCCCTGTTTTCAGTCTTTCATGCCTCTTGCCCTCCCTCCCTCTGTGCATCTCAGTAGTCAGTCCTAAGTAGAAGAGACAGGCGTTTAGTCCAGCAGAAATCAACTACATACGCCAGCCGGGAGCGGTGGCATTATGGTTCGGATGGGAGAAGTAAAGAAAACGGAGTCAAGTCGGACAGCAAAGAGATTCTTGATGTACAATTTTTGACGTAATTGATATAATTCCATGTATTATCGTATATTGGTCGGAGAAAGAGACCATCCATCTGTATCCCGACTGATACTGATATTAGTAATCGATAGCCCCAGTGTTATAATGGATGAATGGAAACAAATGGATGGTTACCCTTTGACTATTTACATAGCACCACCACCAGGTAAAAATGTCAGTTTCTCCAATCCAGTGTTTTATGACCAAGTACTTAAAAACATAGCCTCAGTTATACTTTGTTTTTTTAGTGCTAACTAGCAAATGTCAACATGCTAACACGCTAAACTAAGATGGTGGACAGAACAAACATTATGCCTGCTAAACATCAGCATGTTAACATTATGATTGTGAGCACTGTGCATAAGAACAGCCTCACAGAGCTGCTTGTATGGCTGTAGACTCTTGGTCTTGTTTTAACATAAACCCATAACATAAATAAACATTTTAAATAATAATCCTTTACATTTACATCAGATGTGCTATGGCTGTTACATTTCACAGTTGGAAAATAAACTTGAAAGCGCTTCCTGGTTTTTGAACTATGTAATGGCAAAACTGTCAAAACTTTGGCATTTCTGTACTGCAATTTCCTCTCTGTTGTTTAGTTCTTATCAGTCAACATGTATGTCAATACCGTTTATCTTTGATCAGCTTATCTGCTGGGCTTTCATCCATATACAAATATACAGTTGAACAAAATGTTGAAGAAATAAGCAAGGAGATTAAAAAAAAAACCCTGAGAGGCCTGTCTGACAGCACAAATGCTGTACTTAATATAATACGATATAACACATATTAAGAACAGTATGATTGAATACAGCAGAAATATGTAAAAAATATTAGCAACTAGGGCTGTAGTCAACCACAAAAAAATCGGGGTCGACTGTAATTCTGCCTACACTTCACTTCACTCTTGGTTGGTGAGTGCTCTCTGTCTCTACCTTCATTGCCAAGAAAATGAATTCCTGCAGTTTGACCATTTCTTTTTTTCCCAAGTAGCAATACCGTTTCCTTCGGGACATGTCTATTAAGTAAATTTACAACAGCAACACACATGCACACAATGATCACAATGAGGATCACAGAGCAAACAGAACAAAGACAAAATGCAATATAATGCAGCTCGAGAAAAAGCAACACGAAACAAACGTTACTGGCATCTGACTTCAAATGTAACTTAACGTTCAGTGTTTCTTTCGACTGTCCCTCAATATTACAACGTTAGTCTGTGGCAGTAGCCACTTAGTAACATGCTGAAGCAAAGTTCAGCAGGATAAACATCAAAACTGACACTAACACAACATAAAACGTGGCAAGACGCACAGCTTCCAAGTTTGAAGTCGGGTCACGGACAGCCGGTAAACTTATCAGTCCATAATCCCCTGTAATTAGCCCTCCGTAGTAAAATGCACACACATGTTGCCATCGAAAATAAACTTTATCCGCTCAGTTCTTCTGTCTTCTGAGGCTGAAGGTCAATGTAGAGATTTTTGCTGGTTATTTGACAATGTGTCAGTTAGTTTGGGGCTGAGTAAATGTTCAGTAAGTCCTGCAGCCTCCAGGCCGCCAGTTGGAGTTGTGAAAATGGGGGTATTTTGTCTTCCTGATTTATAGGTTGTCTACTAAACCATGAGATTATTAGAATAAAATCACATTCGTTGAGTAAAACAAACAAACACTGCATATGTTCTTCACCCCCAAAAATTACGGATTAAGAAGCATTTTTCTCCTTTAAAAATTAAAGTAACACGGCCGATTGTCCCGCCGAGGAGATTTTGGCCGGACATGAGCATACCATACGACCGCATGTTGTCGGCCCTATTAGTAACAATAGAAAGACCACATAAGAGTTAGAGTGACCACCACATATTCTTGCTCACTATCTATGATGTAGAGGTGTTATAAATCCAGTATGCAGTCTGTATAATGTGTATGCTCAGCAGTCTGGTTGCATTGTGGCTGCTATCTCGCTCTCTTTGCCCCGCTCGCTCTCTCCCTCCGCTTATCTGCGGGTCCATCAGGAACACTGCATGCTCCGAGGGTAAACACAAACAAACAGGGCCTTCCCTCATTGCTCCTTCTCCCCCGTCCATCCAGGGGAGTTTATGTGGGATGGAGTGATAGCATCTCTCCGCTCCATCGTCTCCATCGCGCCACGCTGCACTTCACAAACACAGAGAAAACACACATCGGAAATGTTCACTTCAAGCCTTCACGCTGGCCTTTCATTTCTCTTTTATCTGTAACAGAGAGGCATCAGCGACGCTCTATACGCTCCCTTCACCCCTATTTAGAAGGATTGTAGATTTTTTTAATCTGTGGACAAAGAAGTAGACACTCATTCACTCTTAGCTTGTTCCCACAGTCTGTACGCTTTACCCAAACTGTATATAAAGTTTCTGACCGTGCACACGTACTTAGCATTCTTTAAATCAGGAAATTGGACACGTTGAGGTTGATGCTGCACACTTGACTTTTTTTTGACAGAGACAGAGACAGATGTTTTTGTCTGCCTGGATCGGGCTATGTGGGTAAGTGGTTTGTGTGGCTGTGTGTGTGTGTGTGTCTGTGTGTGTGTGTGTGTGTCTGTGAAGCTGAGGATCATAGGTAGATAGCTGCCGAAAATGTGCATTCTCTCACTCTCTGCACGTTTATTTTAGTGATTATAATCCCTCCATCAAACCAGAAACAGCCAGACTCCATAATGATCCTTCCCAGGGGCATTAGGTGATGATTGGTGCTGCAGAGGCAATTATCTTTCCATTTCTCCCCACTCTCTGTATCTCTCTCTCTCTCTCTCTCTGTCTTGTCCCTTTTTTCCTATTCTTTATATGAATGAAAGCCTGCAATATTCTCTAGTTACTAATAAAACTTACATTACACACAGATATGCACTGACACAGACAGACAGACAGACACACACACACACAGCTTTCTGGTCAGGTTTCACTCGGGGGTCTAGCAGTGGCAGCCCCCATCTCAGAGGGGTGTGTGTATGAGTGTGTAGGTGTGCAGTTGCGCGCGTGTGTTTCTGTCTGTTGGGCGGGGTCGACCAGTACTTGTTGATTCTGGTGCATCGAATTACTGCCCGTCTGTCACATCCAATTACTGCTTTGGACCACTGACGCACACAGCCTGCCTCTGTACGTGTGTGTGCGGGTGTTTGTCGCTCACCTCCAGCTGTGTCGTGCTGACGTGACGAGCCACAAGTATCCGCTTGTGATTTGGCCGGCTTGGCACTATTTTCATCGGACTCAGGGATCATCCCCTTGCTCCTGTTCAGTCAGTATCACTGAGTTAGGTCATTAGCCTTTTTTTTTTTTTGTGGTCATAAATAGCCTTTTTCATGAAGGTGCCAAGTTAATTGATATTTGCTATTGAATTTGAAGATACATCTTGTGAGCTGGCTTGATGCCACTGGCCACAACTCTGTATTATACGGATGCCAACTCAGAATTAATTTTTTCCTCTTTAATAATTATTAGTCGCAGTTAATAAGCCATTCGTATGAATCTTGCCTGTTCCAGGCCCTTTCACTTGACTCTTTTCCATGCATTTAGCAAATCCTCTTTTGCGGTCACAATAGATTTGCCATGTGTTAGCCATGGCACTGTTTAGCCCTGAGCTCCTTTTATGTAATACAAGAAAATAGTATATAGTCTTAATAACAATAATTAGACACACACACACTCACATTGAGCACCATATATTAGGTATATACCTGCAAAGCACGCAGTTGTTTTGCTTTGTTGCTGTCTGGAATGTTTCCTTCATTGCTTCCAACAATGTTTGTTGCTCCGGCACACCTTCTGGCTACTTGTCACTTGTACTCTATTATATTGATTCGTTTAATGCCTCCGTAAGTGTGTTATCACATTTGTGGTGTTAAAACTTCCAGTGGTGATTCTAACCCTCTCAACACCCATTTTGCATTCTGCCATTTTATTTTGATTGCAGGTTGCTGTTTCCACTCCCATGCAGCCGTTGTTATTAAGTGTCAGAATGTGATTTTATTTTATTTCCTTCAACTTCGATTCTGATGTGGTGTTTTTGGCGAGTGTGGATTTTGTTGCTGAATATCCAATTGGCGCATCTCCTAGTTTGCCTTTGCGAGTGTAACTGAACTCTTTTGTTCAGTTTGAAAGTTTCTTCTTGTCCATGTGACTCCAAGGCTTCTGCATTGCTCCCACAAAAGTGTGAACGTGTGAACTTGAAGGCGAGTCAACTTTTGAGGAGTAGGAGAGAAAGTATTAAAAAAAAATGAGAGAGAGAATTGGGGGGGTTTATTATTTCTGTCCAGTGTTTTCTTTCACAGTTCCATCACCCAGTGTGGAGAGGGATCCTTTTCCCCCACTCACCATGGGTGTCAGAGGCCACACACAAACTGTGTATGTGACTGTGCACAGTCTACTCCACACACACACTTACTTATGCGCACACTCATATTGATGTCGGTAAAGGTCATAGCACTTACACACTCTCTCTCTCCATCACTTATCACTCTCTTCTGTCTTGGCTGTGTCTCTTTTTTCTAAGAAAAGTGTTGTCCTTCTCTCACTACAGCTTTTGACTTCCTCGAATCTTTGGTTTCTTTGTGTTTTACATGGACTTTGATTCCTTTTAGCGAACGGACTGAATAAACGTTTTCTGAAATGATTTTTGTCAGTAGAGTGTTATTCTAGTGCAAAAACAATTGATGGTGAGTTTTTAGAACAAAGAATACTCAAAGAAAAACACTCTCTCCTGGCTTTTGCTACTTCGCTTCCAACCCTTCTCCTCGTCCTCCTCCTCCCCAGCTTCCTCTTTCAGCTTCCCAGGATGCCATGCGGGACACGTCGGAGCAGATCAGGGAGTTGGAGAGGGCACTGAGGGAGAGCATGAACACCTCTGCACATAGGGAGGCTCTCTGGGCGCAAGAGGAGAGCGCCCGTGTTAAGGCCCAGAGACAGGTTTAACTAATGTTTCACTCAAGACCAGCATACACATACACACACACTCATACACAAACTGACAGTCTCATGAGGCAGTGTGGCCTGTCTTTAAAACAGAGTGCAGGTATTAGCTCACCTAGGACCAACAAGGACCACTGAGAAAATGTGAGGAACCTAACTGCACCACCATGTGGTTAAGAGTGTAACTGCGAGTGGACTGTCGTCAATGATTGATCCTTAGTCACTTAATATGCAGCTCTTAAACAATAAATATCATGATTAGAAAATGGATAGTTGTCTTTTGCTTCGTTATTTTCCTTTCTTCTTAATTCAGTTTTTATTCTCTAAACAGCTGTTGTTTAAATCCTCCCTCTAGACTGAAGTTTAAAACTGAAAAAAGAAATTCCAGCGTCCTCCTTCCATTTTATGTCTCTCGTTAAGTTTCCTTGAAAATGTGAGCATATGTTTAACATATTGTGAGTTTATGTGCATGCAATCAGAATTCATTAACACATCTTTAGACTTGTTGTCTTGATGGAATACAGACTGCCCTTTTACTCTGTATGTCCTGCTATCTATCTGTCTGACTGCCAGCTGCTCGGTCTACATCTTTAAGTGGGTCCAAAAAAGTGTATGTGTGTGCATTTGTATGCATGTGTATGTGGGCGTAGGTGTGTTTGTGGTGGGAAAGAAAAACAGGGCGAGGGAGTGTGTTTCCTCCTGGTGTGAGCGTGCATTTGAATGAGAATGACCCTGCATTACTGATGAGTGCCACAAGTAATACGAGAGCAATCTGCGGTTAAAACAAGAATTAACATTTTGAGGCAGAATGGTGGCTGTATTGCCTCAAACACACATACATATTATCCATGTCTCTCTCTGTCTCACACACACACACACACACACACACACACACACAGACATACAAAGACCGAATCTGATAGAGAAGAGCAGAGCGAGAAAGTAAAAAAAGGTCAAACTGAGTTTAGAAAATTTGGTGAGAGCCAATGCTAACTGTGGCTTGTTTTTTCCTCTTTTTCGCAATGTCTGTACTGTACACGCTTGACTTACAGTCAGCATGGATACTGTGTTTATCAAACAATATTCTGATCCACTGAGAAGTCCGAAAGAAAAGTATATTTATGTCTGTGGGGCTTTTTCGCACGCATAGAAGTGGATGATTCAGCTTTGACCTGAGTTTACCCATGTGTAGCCAAAGAGTCAGGGAAATCTTTTCCTAACTTGTGACATGTTAACACTCATTGACCTCAAAAGCCATAGTCTTGATCCAGTTGATTTCAACTTGATCCAGACCCTACGCATAGAGAACATAATAAGCCAGCATACAGTCATACTGGCGACTGCACTTGACACGTATTGAGAGTAGAATTGCAGTGGCGACACGAAAATACCCATTTGGCCTGGCACTCAGGCTGCTCGGTCGTTGATACACGCTGCTAGGTGCTGTCAGCACACTGACCTTTGTGAGCCAGCATGAGTCCCCACGTAAGGAGGCAGCAATTTAACATGCCGTTATCATTCAGTCACACAGTCCTCAGTCAACTGCTGTTCTTGCCTCAGACTATGGAGAAAATCGAGTTTATGTGTGTAAGGAGGGATGCTGGGGGGAATAGAGAGAGGAACAGGTCCTTCTGGGGCATCACCTGACCCTGGCACTGTTTCAGAGCGCCGTGCCAGAATCACATTCTCACATCCCCCCTCACTCTTTCCTTGATTTTCCTCTTTCTTCTCCCCTCTGTCCCAGAGTAATCAGTCTCATGATGTGTAATGCGCTGAAAGTCTTCCATCAGCCTGACCTGCTGAAATGGAGCATGGGTAATGCCCCGGGTCACTTTTCTTCACACCCCCGCTCTCTAAGTCTCTCATTCCGTTTGTGCCTCTCTCTGTCTCTTGTCTTTCTCCTGCCATCATTTCTGCTGTCTATCCATTGTCCCGAGCCTCGTTTTCGTTTCCCATCTGCCTTCTTAAGTTGTCTTGCCCAATTATCACCACACCCTCTCTTCAATTCTGTTCCTGTCTCTCTCCCTCTCTCCCCCTCTGTGGCGTTTGAACTAGGCCTTTGAACCAGCAACACCGACGCAAATGGACAAGAGGGATTTGGCCCTTACCTCTGAGCCCCCAATCAGCTTAGCAACTAAAGGGGCTTTGGGCCAGTCTTAGTGAGCCTTAGCCTGACTGGGGGGCTTTGCCTTGAAGTTGAGCTAAATTAGCACGCACAGGCTCACCACTAAGCTGATTAGGTCCCTAATTTCACTAAAATGCATTGTATTCCTTATTAATGATGTGATTGTGAAGTGAGGGCTAGCCTGGGTGGTGGACTAATGGTGGACTGGGAGGTAGGCAGTTGGTGCATAAGGGTTGATAGACATGTGGTGGGTGTAAATCGAGTTGTGTGTGCGTGACCCTTGGCTTTCAAGATGAAAAGACTGGCTTTGGATTCTTTTAAGCCTGAGAGAAGACATCAAACATTAAACATGCTGTGATTTTGGACAGTTTGATGATCTTGTTGATATTGGGTATATTAACTCCTGGAGGTCAGTTGTTGTTGGCAGGGATATTTAAAACAGTGCCTTTGTTACATTTCTAGGAAGTTATGACTGAAAGTTGTCACATTCCCACAATTTTGAATTTCTGTATTCCTCACTTTGCTTTTACTCTTTCTTCTCACACTCCATATGTGATATTCATGAACAGTCAGAGAGCACATTATCTGACATCTGCGAAACACACCTAGTAAACCGGCGGAGATGGAGAGTGTCCTGAAAATGTGTGAACGATTTGGCCCCTTCATAAAAGAGGCCCATTCCTTTTTTCATGTCTTACCCCATGGAGTGTTTTCCCTCAATACTTTTTTTTTTTTTTTTTTTTGCTTCTCCTTCACTTTCTTCCCCTTTGTTCATTTGAGATCCAAGTCTTCAGAATTTATTGTTTCTCTATCTTAGATCACAAACCTGCAAATAATCTGAATTAAACTAAAGATTTTCATTCTCACAGTCTTCCATTTACATCTTCTGAACAAGCCTGCCTAGTACTGCATCCTATTGTAAAGTACTTGTTGTTAGACAATTAGATACTTCCTGTCTTAGAATAATGATGCCCTGAGGTCACATCCTGCATGTCAGACATGTTGGACACACAGGCCTGCATGGCTGGAGGGCATGTGTGTGCAGTGGGAGGAGATGTAGTTGAGGGGTTGAGCATTATTCTCAACTGCTCTAAAGTAGAGCCACACTTGAGCGTGAGATAAAAATAAGTGGAGAAAGGTGGGAGAGAAGAGGGAACCCTTGTTGCCAGTGCAAAGTTCAGCGGACATATCATTCAACTAACCTTTGAACCGCAGTAATTTCACCTGCTCCTAAATGTCAACTGCCCATTTTGTTTTCATGTTTAGGCAGCCATTTCACGTCATTATATCATTCCAACACACACACCCTCTGAAATGCACACAAATGTATGTTATCTGACAAACATAAGTGCAAATGTTGTGTATCTGACTACTTTGCAATATCCACGTGTAGGTGTGTGTTTGACTCTGCATGCATAAGTAGGCAATAGATCTTGTATATTGTTTTTTATATAACTTGTTGTATAATTGAATGATCTAACGTTTAAGAACAGAACCATAGTAGCCTAGTATGTTTTGATCCTGTTTAAATCTGTGTGTATATGCCTCCCCTTGAATAGTTGGAGGAGCTGATGGGGGCTTTGGAGAAGACACGGCAGGAGCTGGACGCTACCAAGATGCATCTCTCCTCCACTCAGCAGTCCCTGCACGAGAGGGATGGACACCTTAATAGTCTTCGCCAGGAGAGACGCAAACAGCTGGAAGAGATTCTGGAGATGAAGTTAGTCTCACACTCAGCCATCTGTCTTTTTATAAAAAGCACAGTATTTATATCTTATCTATTTACCTTAATCTACCTTACTTATTTTCCTCCTTTCAACAGATTTCAACTTTTTTCAAAGAATTTAGTAATGACACACTCTGTAGCTGTATGCTACATCCATGAAATAATTAATAACTGCATTTACGTGAAGAGAAAAAGCCTAATGTGTAATACAGAGCAAGAGTTGGTGGTAACTGTAGTAAGACAAAATAAAGTGTTTGTGGTAGTGACTGCCACACCCAGCCCATAAAAGTATACGATCAAGGATCTTTTATTAACATTGGCATCATTTGCTCAGTGCTTCATCAGGGACATTTCCATTACCCTGCAACAGCAGCAGCAGCTTTGTTGCTGCATCAGAAACCTTTGTCTAATACTGTTATTAGGCACATTTATTCGCTCACCTGTTCACATGTGCATCTGTGCATGAGTGTTATATAGACATCAGCAATGAGGTGTGTTTGAAGCCGCAGAATCAGCCCTTGTCTATAGCTGCCTTGTGAAAAGTTACATTTATTGAGGACAGGTGGTGCAGCCTTAGACAACGGGTCAGAAAAATGTGTGTGCAGCTGTTTTTTTCATTTATATGTCTGTGTGTGACAGAGAGAGAGTTCGAGAAGAAGGAAACCAAAAAGTGTACAGGAATGGCTGAATTTCCATGTGTGAGTGTGTGTCAGTGGGTATGTATGAACGTGTGAGTGGGTTCAGTGATCTGTCAGTGGAGCGGCTACATGTGTGTTTGCTTTGAGCGCTCTGATTGAAGGAGCATGGAGCCACATATCTGGTTGTCATGTGCCTCAGAGAAATGCCTTTAATGTCAGCCAGTCAGTGCAGTACAAAAGGGAAGGCTGGCACATATGTATTGAAAACACAACTTTTAGAATCCATTGCGCCTCACAAGCCCCTCTGATCACACTAACTCTAAAAGAATGTGTGTGCGCGTCTCTGTCTGCCCTCAGTATGTGTACATGCACAGTTTGCTGGAGACCGAGAGTGCCCGTGCCCATGTATCACACACATGCACTTGTGATACAAACCATCTTCCTGTCTGTTCCAATTTCCACCATCCAAACATTACCAGGGATGTTTAGCAAAGGAAATGTGTTACATATGATACAGACAAAATCCATGCTTCTAGGTATGTACATAAAATTAGGAAAACATTCACTGACCTGGCATGTGAATGATACTCTTGTACTTTACTGGCACTAGGCTTAAATCATTATTATATAACCATTAGAAAGGTGGCTGGGGAAGAAGTTAGTGTGATGGATGTTTGACGTAAACAGAAACAAAGCAGATGGGATTCTTTGTGTTTGAGACTTTGACTGAATGCAAGTCTACACTGGTAAGAGCTAATGGAGGGGGGCACAAGGGGCACGGGTGTGTGTGTGGTCCCTTGTGCATTGAATTCTGTGTGTGTGTGTATGAAGAGGTCGGAGGCAGGGGTTTGGGGTCACTGATGATGTGGATTAAAGGACTGTTGAATGGCGAAGGGCGAAGCTTTGTGAGACTGACTTACATCTGAGCAAGCCACAAAGATACGCACGCAGAACATACACACAACCTCAGTGGAACTCACATATAATCACTCACGTCTGCAGACATGCACATACTTACACAAACTTTGGCTTTCTGCTTTAAAAGGGGCCATATTCCCACAGCACAGCTCTGGTCCAAGTTAGCACAGGGAAAACTAAACAGGAAAGATAAGGCAGAGAGAGAGAGAGGTAACGAGCGAGAGAGAGGGAGAGAGGGAGTTAAGAGTGAAAGCAAGATAAAATGAGACATAAGGAGAATGAGAGGGAGGGGAGGATGGAATGGAGGGGCTGCACAAACTGAAGTATTTCAAATCTTAGAAATCATGAGAGAAGTTTGATTGCATGCCAAGTTTCTCCTTCTCTCCAATGTGTAATGTGGCATTTGTCAAGAAGACCAGCTGAAGCAAACCATGTGAGGCACGTTCCCCAGTGAACTGGGGAGTGCTCTGTGTGTTTTTTAGTGTGTGTGTGTGTAAGCCAGAGAGAGAGAGAGAGAGAGAGAGAGAGCAGACTCTTGGCTTTTCAACACTGTTAATGAAAGAGACAAGAGGGGAAAAAATAATTTTCAATATCCTCTCATTGCATGCTGGGTTTCCTAGCTTGTATTGTGTGTGTGTGTGTGTGTGTGTGTGTGTGTGTGTGTGTGTGTGTGTGTGTGTGTGTGTGTGTGTGTGTGTGTGTGTGTAAGAGAGAGACAGAGAGAGCATTTTCATATTTCCCTTTTTCAGATACAGAGCTGAATGCTTGATGTATAAGGAGCGGTGCGGGTTTGCTTTATCACCCCACACCAGATTGAGTTTCCACCATACTGTACAGTACTCTCTCTCACACACACACACACACACACACACACACACACACACACACACACACATACACACACACACACAGATGACCTCCAGGGGAGCTAGTCATTAAATGAGTCTAGGGTCACAGGGTGTAGGTGCACAATAGAGAAATTATGTGTTTGGACATTTTGAATAGCTAGTCATTGAGATGTTTCCATAGTCTGAATGGGATAATACTACATGCCACAACATTGCAGTGGCTTACTGAACCTGATCCTCCTGTAGACACTGGGAATGTAGCTGATATTATCTCTGTTTACATTTTAGTGATGGAAAATGATGATAGAGCAAAGAAAAGGTAGCGGTAGCTTTGAAGCAGCCACATAAAGAGATGCAGAGTTGACAAAGTGGAAATTTTTAGATGTAGAGAAGGGGAGAGTTGACAATTTGAGAGATGGAGGGGAAAATCGTGCAAACATTAGTCGAACAACTCCACGAGAGAGTAGACGGAGGAAAAGAGAAGCTGTAGCAGAGACTTAGGGAGGAAATAGTAAACGATAGGGGAAAAAGGGATGATAGAGTGAGGGAGTGATGGATGGAGGGGTGATTGATGGAAGGAGGGAGGAGGAGAGTGATGGAGGAAGTGGTGGAAGAAAGAACGGGGAAGATCGAGAAAAGCTGTGAGAGGTGGGAGGGAGTCTGGTCTGGTTAGCAGAGAAGGGCTAGAGAGAGGGAGAAGAATGGATGAGAGCAGAATGACTAAACACAACATACCATCAGCAAACACCTGCACCCGACTATAAAGAACATCCACCTGTTCATTCACATTTGGATTTCACATAAGGCATACATAATGGTAGTAAGATATTACGAATAAAAATGCATCTGTAGCAAAAAGATGTTGCATGCTAGGTTGGAGAAAAGAGAAAGAGGAGCAAAAAGGCAATGGAAATGAATGCACTATGATGTTAAGACCCCTGCTCAGTCTTCTTATATTTCTCTAGTTAACGAAAACATTAAACAGCATGTTGGGAAAAAATGCAATATCCTCAGTGTAACATAAATACAGGTGCTCAATCAATTACACACTCTTCTTCCGTCCTTGTCTTGAATTTTGATTAACTTTAATTCATAGGGGAAAAAAACACAATTTATGACCAAATGTAGAAATATTTTGACACATACCTTTTGTGGCATTCTCCAAATGCAAAATTAAACCAAATGTTAACTTTATGTAATGCTCACTCCTTTTTTATCATGCCATTAGCTATTCTTCACAGTGGAAATGTAATAACCTCTAACCTGTAACCCTGAAATTAAATTATGTCCGTGAAGTGTGTTCATGTATCCGTTTGTTGGCTAGTTACAGTAATCCATGGCATAATGAAGCTTAGAGCAGTAGCGACGTTATGACTTTCAAATCCCCAACGTAGACATCCTGTCTGCACAGCGCCATTGCCATGGTTACTCTGACTAAACACACAGAAAGCCCAGCTGTACTGGCAAGGTCATGTCCCTGCTCACTGATCTCTCTGAGGGGCCTGGACACATACACACTCTCACAAACTCGCACGCACACATACACTCGTTGAAACCCATGTACAGCGAAAAAAAAGAATATTTACACACTCATATATTCAGCCAACCAGGCATTGCGTTCACTTGTATGGTTTTGACATTACATTCACATATACTGGAAAAAAAAGCATGGACGGACAGACATGGGAGGACTTACAGCAGATGCACACATGTATGCACATTCACCCAGCCACATGCAGACACGTATGGTGTTACAGTGCCATTGTTGTGATAAGTAATGATGAGATGTAGCGGTCGGTGCGGTGTGTGAATGGGATTCTCTGTGTTGCAGTGATGAGGAGGGGGCTGACCACACATCACCTTCCTCTCTCTGCAAGCCAGTTTGTATGTGTGTCGCCTCGTGGGAACTTCGGGCAATTCATCATGTCTGTCTGTGCTCCCGTGCCCTCTGACACGCATGTTTACCTTCGACATGTGTGTCGGCTGTCGGGCCTGTAGGTGTGTTATTATGTCAGGGCCGAGGCATGCTCCACCCTACTCCTACTTCTCCTCCTCCTCCTTTGAGGTTTTGTCAATGGAGGGCTTCATCACATGGAAATCCCTGCTTCTAAGTCCTTGTTCAGTACAGTAAGTTAATGACAGACTACCTACCTGGGTCCCATAGAGTAAGCTTCAATTGTGGAGAGAACAGTGCAGATGGTATAGTCAGTTTTGTATCGGCTATTACGCTGTTCAGATAACGCTTAAATGTAACTTTTCTAACCCATTTTCCCCAGACCATGTCATTGCCTTGGTCTGCACACTGCAACCGTCATGTCTTGATCTCGTAGGGCTTGGCTTTTCTAGCATCAATTATTTTTTTTATCACTACTAATTAATATTTTATTGCCGTTTGTATCCACAGTATTTATGGCAAGCGGAGGCCCACCCAGTAAATATGATTTGGAGGTTTTGTGTCCTGCACAGTATGTAAACCCTGCTTTGTAAAACTGCCACGCAGATGTACACACCCTCTGTTTGCAGTATAGTAACTGTTGCTGTCATAGTAGAGAGTATTTGTGAGACATGGAGTGGCTGGGTGAAGTGGCAT